GTCGATAGTTGCATTCTCGCACCTAGTAATAGGCTGGACACATCCCATGCCTCCTAGAAAAGCCTGGAAGTATAATGAATGTACTTGTAACAAGTGTTTGTTGAGCAGATGAAAGAATGAATGTGATGATTGGCAAGTAACTTTAAAGAGGAATAATTATTAGCATGGATTACTGTGAAGACTGTGTTTTGTATAACTACCATTGTTTCCTACCTAGACCAAATCTGACACTTCATGTCCCAATTCCCTGTTTGATTCTCCTGACCATTTCTTGAGAGTTTCATTATTTGCTAGGCACTGTGTGCGCCTGGGATCATGTATCTTTGCCTGTGAAGTTGGTTTTATAATGTCTGTTTTACATCTGCAGAAACAGACTCAGAGGGAAGGACATTTGCCCAAGGACACAGAGCTCATCTGTGACCAGCATGACTGACAAGGTGACTGCCAGTTTTGACAAGGATCAACTTCTTGCTTCAGTTTCTGACACAAAGAGAGGAGCGCCTGCCTCCCGCCCACATGGACACTCTCTCACTGCTGAAGTTCGGCTTTTCCACTTACTGAAATTTCCCCCTCTAGGCTGAATTACTTAAAAAATGAGGTTGCTAAATCTTTTCCTAGTTTAAAACATGCTCACCTGGATCTCCTCCTATTCTGTTTCTTAGGGATAAAAAGATAACTTGGTCTCTGCTTTGAATTTTTTCAGGTCGATTTTGACATTGTTACTACACTCTTCACAGGTTTTACATACATGTCTCTGCCATATAATCCAGGGAGTCAGCATGAGAAACTCTGGGTCAGCTCTTTAGCTGCCTAAGACTCTTGTTTTGTATCTTATGAGTATGTAGGACTAACACAGAGAGCTATTGCTGCCACTAAATATCATCTCTAGTTAGCATTTCCGGGGTGCTCAGAGAGAAAACAATGTCTGGGTGATGACTCTTGTCAGTTTCCCCATTGTCAAACCCAATCTTACGTTCCTCCACACTCACAATATTTCCCCATTGGGAACATGCCTGACATTGCAATTTCTCAAAACTGCAGCTCTGCAGTGAATGCCTAATTCCTGAAACTGCAAAATCTAACAAAAGCTGATTTTTTCCACTGATTTGACTGGCTGACTATTTCGAGGCTTTGCATGTGATGACCTGCTGTTCTTCACAAACAACATCTTTAATGTATCCACATGGTTGTTGTGTAGTGGCTGAGGGCAATTAAATCCTTGGAGCTGCCTGCAGGGCATCAGAATCACTCACAATGTCCAGCGTTTCTGCCACAGACAAATTTCCCCATAGGGTCACGCTTAGCTGCCAAGCAGCATTCTGTTACTTGATTTTGAACTCAGAACCCATTTTCCACCATACTGCACCAGTGTCACCCAGGGCAAGCCATGGGTATGCGCCAGCTCACTTGGAGTTACTTGTGTTGTTTTAAAAACTGCTTTCTCCTCTCTCTCTCTTTCTCTCTCTCTCTCTCTCTCTGTGTTGGTGTTTTCATATTGCCACATGAAAAGCCAATTTAGAGGAAAATATGGCAATTCTGTTCTTTTTATTTTTACTATCAAAATAGATGATCTTTTTCTGTCTTTAGATATAATACTTGTTTGGATTCTTCATACATTTTTCATATTTGGTAAAACTCTCCATGGTGTTATTTCAGCACAGATCCCCAACTTGGCCACTAAGGAAGACAAATTTATCTACTTTCTTCGCTTGTCCCCTGACCTCGCTCTCAACCTTCACCCCACTCCAGTTTCTATTCCTTGGCCGAGGGGCGGTGAGTGCTGAAGCCAGGGCACGTCACCCGGTTTGGCGCCTCGGTCCTCACCCCACCGACAATGCGGTCTAGTGGCAAAGAGCCCCGATACTTTATCCCGCTAATACTGCGTCACACACGCCCCCGCAAACACAGATCAAAGGCTGCAAAGCATGGGAGATAAGGCAAGGTTTCCCGGAGCGCCCGGGGAGGAAGTGACTGGAAGCGCGCAAAGACTCGCTCTTTTGATTTTTCTGTTTCTTATGGAAATTGAGTTGCGTTTATAAAACAGAGCCTCCCCGACAGAGCGCCGGGGCAGCACCCTCCCTAGTCTTCCCCCCAGAGGAGCGGCCCCAAGAAGACTCAGGAAAGGAAACGCTGGTATTTGCTAAGGAGACGGCATTCGGCTGGGCCCGAGCCCCACGCCGCCAAGGCCGCGCCCGGGCGCAGCCCGCGAGGCTCTCGGGGTGCGCCTCCCTCGGCGCCTGCTCCCGCGACCGTCGGCCGGTGCGGGCTCTTTCCCACCCCTCCTCCGCTACGCTCCCGACCGCCGGCCGAGCCCTGCCTCCCCTCCCCCTTCTCCTTGCCACTTGTTGCGGCCCAGAGGAGACGCGCTTGTTCCGCCGGCTGATTGTAAAAGGGTTTGACTTGCGGCTGACCCCGGGTCAGGACTTTCTCTCCACTAATCCAGCTCTCCTTAAACACAAAAACACTCTGCCCCCGTCCCTCGCATCAGTCATCTTAATCTCCGCCCCCGCCCCCGCCGGCGGCTGACACCCCGCCTGGCCTCCGCGCCCAGGCCGGCCGGAGCTGGGCGGGCTCCCCGAGGGCCCCGCGGGACGCCCCCGCTCCCCGCCTGGAGCCCGCGGGGGCGCGGCCGCTCCCAGGCCCCTGCCGAGTCCCCACCCGAGCCTCAGATGCAGCGTCCGGGGGCCGAGCGGGACGGCAGGGGGAGGACAGGGCGAGCGGGACAGACAAAGAGAAGGCCGGGCAGAAAGAAAGGAAAGTGAATGAAAAGCAGGTAGATGCGGAGTCGGAGTGGGATAAAGCGCGAGAGGGGAAGTGAAGAAGTAGGAGTGAATGGGTGGCGGGTGGAGAGAGGAGTGCGCAGGGTGAGAGGGAAACCGCGCAATGTCGGGCTCAGCCCGGGCAGAACTCGAGAAAGGCAACTTTGAGAAGGGGCTGAGGGTGGGGCGGGGCGCAGTGGGGCGCGCACGAGAGGCTCCATCCCGGGAGGAGGGGACCCGGACCTGGGCCTGGGCCACAGGGCGCCGCCCGCTGCCGACGCCGCTCCAGTCCCGGGGAGGCCTGCGGGGTCTCGGCCGGCGCGCAGCTGGAGAGGAAGGGCGGGAGCTGGGGGGAGGAGGGAAGAGCTCCTCTCCTCGCCCCTCGCCGGAACTTGTCCCCTGTACGCAGGAGGAAGCGAGGAGGCCTGGCACTGAGCTGGAGGAGTGGGCTAGGGTGACGGGTCCCTGAGTCCCCACCTCCGCGCGCGCCCGGCCGCTGGTCCTAGCTCAGCCCTGGCGCTGCCCCCACCCTGCAGGACTGAGGGACACCGAGACGCCTCCCGCTCCTCTCCTCGGGGCCCGCGGCCCCCTCACCCCTCCCCATCTGGCCGGGCCTTTCGATCCTGCCAAACAGTCACGCTGGGAAGAGAACTGCGCCAAAGCCAAGCCTGCTTTTCACTTGAAGTTTCCAAAGAATCAAGCCTGTGGTTGAATTCTGCTGCCCACGCTTCTAAACCTCTGCCCCGGGGCCTGGTTGTGGGGCGTGGGTGTGGGCCAGGGTGGGCGCGGGCTGGAGCTAAAGCGACCGAGGACCGAGGGGTACCAGAGCCCCGCCACTTGGAGCGCGACTTCCTGGGCACGCGTCCTGGATGCAGTCCTTGAATTAACTGAAATTTTCCAGAGAGGAAATCTGCGGTGCCCAGTCTTTGTCGGAGACATGAAAGCGTGGATATAAGTGTTATTCTTCTCCCACAAGCACCATTTAATAGACCTATCACTCAGGGTCCCCGACTCACTATCTGCAGATCAGGCGGCTGTACCCGAAACTCTTCTTTAAAAGTAGTTCATTTCATCCAGCTACTGGTGTGTTTCTTTGGGGAGGAGGATCTCAAATCGTAAAAACAACAACTAAGGGGCCAGTGAGTTGAAAACCGAAACAAAATAAGGTTAACATCAAATGAAACCAAACCAAAGAAGCTTAAAGCACACAAACCCTGGCACTCTCAGTGTAGACAGGGCCAGGCTCAGTGGGCAGATTGATAAGCCACCCAGTCCGCCTGCACGAAGTCGTGCAAACTTTGTTTCAGGCCTCAAAAGGATCCTGTCCACGTTCCCTCCACGGGTTTCAAACAAAATTGGACTAAGCGACAGAAACAGCATCCTGTGATTTGGGAAGTGAATGAAGTCATCGTATAATAATGATCATCATATAGTAATTCTGTTGGTGAAAACCATGAGTACTGCCTGGGCAAAAACTGAGCTCACAGTTGAGTGGAATGTCTAGGGCCTAGTGGAATAGTTTCTCCACGAATTTAAATTGGAGAGACACGGATAGGATCTCAATCCTGAGATAAATCCCAGCTAATCTCTTCTCCTCCCCTCCCATGCTGTTTTTAAATTGAGTCATTAAAGAATTTATATGCTTTTTTCTGTGTCATTCTAATCAACAGAACAAAAAGGAAGGAAGATGGTTGGCGCACCTGGCATTGACTGTTCCCACTGTGTGTGGCAATGCGGTAACTGCCACACTGTAAGTCCCCCTCCAGGAAAACAACTGACAGCTTTGCCCGGTGTTCCAGGCATACTGACCAAACTTTTTGTTTAAAGTGGGCCCCCAAGTTATTAATGTGTGATGAGCCCAGATTTAGATGGCAAGAGCTGGACATAGACACAAGGGCAAGCATAGCTGACAAGTTGAGAATGGTATCTGAAAGACCCTCAGAAAGAGTTCTTTAAGTCTATTTCAGAATAAACAGGGCTCAGGAAGCTCCTGGTGACTTAACAGAGAGAGCGCTATAGCCCTTCCCGAAGCTTCTCCCAGAGGGGACTGGTGTGGCACTTGTCCCCACACTGTCTCAAGGTGCTGCTCTGCTCAGCCATCCATAAGCATGCAGGCACTTTTGGAAACGACTGCTTCACAGAGGATCAAATTGCTAAAAGAAAAAAAAAATGAAGAAAAAGAAAAGGGGGTCTTTTATTATCTTGTTAGAAAGCAGTGGACATCATTCTTGAATATTTTGCAATCACTTTAACGAATGAGTGGTTTAAGCAAAATTATCAAAATGATTCAAAAAAATTACACATGTCAATTGTCAGATTAGCATTATACTTAAAGCTATTCTCGAATGCAGACTGAATTCAGTTCTCATTAAACTGATGGCATAGGCCCACTTTTGGATGGATAGTCCATACTCATTCATTCCAGGACAGAAAAGATGTTGAGAAATAAGGGGAGAAGCCTAAGGCTGCAGAAATCAACATATTTCAATCTGGATTTAAAGTGTTTTTTTTTTTCAAAAATATAATTTCATCTTAATATTGTGATTAATTTCAAAATGTATTTGCTAAGTATAACTTTTAAATGCAATATTTAATGCTGTCAGATTACTTGAAGACAAAGTTTTACAGAAAACTTTAAATTTCAGAAAAACTGCAATGTACCAATAAACACCTAGAAAAAATATAATTAAAAAATTTAAAGCATCAAACAGCCTCAAGACCTCATAGGAATAACAACCGGCATTTCGCGGTCTCGTCCTTTAGCAACTTGCATACCAGTTCCCGTGAGAGAAAGAGGGGCTCGATTTTGTGTGTGTGTGAAAATCCCGCAAAATTACTGTGCCCAGTTCCCAAGGAGAAAGAGGCAGAGGGGGACGGAGGGGTTCAGCTGCAGTACATTTTGGTTCAGTGATTGTGTTTCCTTGAACCACATTCAAATAATTTCTGCTCCCAATCTTAATTGGGGAATTGGGGGTCCCGTGTCCCCGCCATGGCCTTTGTCCCCAATCCTTGGCCTAGTCCCGCCGCCGCGGGGGTCTTTCCTTCCTCCTTTCTCCTCCGGGCCCAGCTGCCCTGCAGACGCCCTGCCAGGCCAGGAGGGCGCAAAGCTGGCAGCACGGAAAAGCAGAACCTGCCCTCGTCCCAGGCACTTGCAGGGCCAGACCAAAAGAAGATATTTTTGTAATTATGCCTCGTTCATATTAACACTTCAACTCTACAAAATAATTTATGGATTTTAACTTTCTTCCTTTCCACTGAATAAAGCTCCAAGAAAATCCTACTCCCAAGCCCCTGGGGTTCCCTTACATTTAGTTCATGCTGATAATTTATTTCTCCTCCTCAGGATTTACTAATTGTACTTTGAACTTATAAAACATGCATATAAAATTAGCACGTTTCAAATTTATGGGGAAAAGCGGGCTTTTTTCTCTCTTAAATTTATTGATTCAAAATTCAATACAATTTGGGGGGGTTCTTTTTTCGTTTTTAGAAGAAAGGCTTTTTAGGAAACTATGTACATAATCTGATTCCTCCTCCCCGCACCGCAATGCCTAAAATAAAAATTTCACAATGCATTTACATGAAATAATACAAAACCAAAAAAATGAAAATGCTGAGATACATAAAGTTTTACAAAACCCAGAATATAACTCCGCCACCTGAAGGGGGGGTGTTAACCTCTTTGTATAAATTAACAAACCAACTCAGAAGAGCGGTAGCAACTACAAAAACCTTGTAAATGTTTGGATCTGCCTTACTACATTTATAACAAACGAGACCAGCTCCCCATCACAGGCCTCGGGCAATCCACGCCGCCAGGAAGCAATGCAGGATGAAAGCGCGCTGGCTGTGATACAAAAGTTGGCATCGCCCCTCGCTTTTTTTTTTTTTTGTCTTTTTGTCCCCTCCTCCGTGGATGATAAATACTGTACAAAAAGTCTCAATAAAACACCCAAGTTCAGTCTCAAACGCAAGCCTTGATTCAGCGCCTAGTGGTCCCAGGAACTCCTGGAAAGGTGAGTGGGGAGCATGTCACCTGGTGTTCGTCTCCAGCGTTTTCATTTCACAAGAGCGTGGAAACGTCTGTACAAAAGCAAGGCCGGCCGGGTCTGGCGGAAGCCTGGGTGCGGGCCGTGAGCTCGGTGGTCACCGAGTCGCCGGCCGCGGGCCGAAGTGTCCCGGCATCCAGGCAGCGCTAGATGTGCGTCAGGGGCACCGTGCCATTGACGCCCGCGCCCGCGCCCTGGTAGTGCTGCGGCAGCGAGTGAAGCCTGCTCTGCGCCGCGGCCGCAGCGGCCGCCGCCGGGTCGCCACCCTCGCCGGCGGGCAAGTACATGCTGATCATCTCGCGCAGGTCCCCGGGGCACGGCGCCCGCGAGTGAGCCGGGGCTGGCGGGCTCCCGCTCGGCTCCGACTTGACCAGCGAGCCGAGCGCGCCCAGGGCGCCCGACGACGCGGCCGCTGCCGCCGCCGCCGCCGCCACGGCCGAGTTCTGGTGAGCGCCGCCCGCGGCAGCGGCGGCAGCGGCCGCGGCGCCGTAGGGGAGGCCGCCGTAGCCCGAGGGCGAGGCGCTCATGTAGCCCTGCGAGTTGGAGATGGGGCTGTACTGCAGAGCGCCCATGTCATAGCGGTGCATGGGCTGCGGGTTGTGAGGGTGCGCGTGCGGGTGGTGCGGGTGCGGGTGCGCAGGGTGCGCGTGCGGATGCGCGCCCCCCGCGCCCGGGTGCTGCCCGTAGGCCAGCTGCGCCTCCTGCATCATGGCCGCGGCCGCGGCCGCCGCCGCCACCGAGCCGGGGTAAGCGCCGTTGGCCCAACCGTTGACGTGCGCGTAGCCGCCTCCCGCCGCGCCGCCTGGGCTCTCCAGGCGCTGGCCCACCGCCGCGGCGCCCACGCCCACGCCCATGGCCACGGCCGCACCGCCGCCTCCCGCGCCGGCCGCCAGGAGCCCGCCGGCCAGCGAGTACTTGTCCTTCTTGAGCAGCGTCTTGGTCTTGCGGCGGGGCCGGTACTTGTAATCCGGGTGCTCCTTCATGTGCAGCGCGCGCAGACGCTTGGCCTCGTCGATGAACGGCCGCTTCTCGGCCTCGGACATGACCTTCCACTCGGCCCCCAGGCGCTTGCTGATCTCAGAGTTGTGCATTTTGGGGTTCTCCTGGGCCATCTTGCGCCGCTGACCGCGGGACCACACCATGAAGGCGTTCATGGGCCGCTTGACCCGGTCTTGGTTGGCCTTGGCTCCGCCGCCGCCGCCGCCCCCGCCGCCGCCCCCACCTCCTCCGCCGCCCGCCCCAGCCGGGCCCGAGAGGTTCGTGGGGGCCTGAGCGCCCCCGGGCGAGTGCAGATCGGTCTCCATCATCATGCTGTACATCGAGGCGGCTCGCGGGTTCACCAGCACCGCGAGGAGAGGACCTGGGGCATAGACGGCTGGGGCGGGGGGAGATGGAGAGGAGTTCAAACGCAGCGAGACGCAGGGGTTCCTAGAGCAGAGAGAAGAATGGGGGAGGGTGGAGGCAACAACAACAAAAAAGAGGCAAAAACGCACGCACTCAACGCTGGTTAGGCTCGTGGGTGGAAAGTTTCTCCTGGTGCACAAACCACTTGCCAAAGAGGCCAACGGTCGGGGTCGCAGTCTTCGCCGCCACAGCAACCCGGTCGCCTTCGGCGGAAAGGTGCAAACAGGTGCAGTCGTGGCCAAGTTGCGGCTCCACTTTCCGGGCCTGAGCGGTGCACTGGGCCGGGTCTGGGGTTTGCAGTCTCCTCCGCGCCGACCGCTGCCGCGCGCTACCTCCTCCCTCCTGTGCTCCGTCCTCAGCGGCCTCCAACTCCCGGGCTGCAACTTCTAGCAGGGCGGCGCGCCGCGTGCGCTGGGCATGTGCTGGTCCCAGGCGCCCGGGGGGAGACAGGCGCGGAGGGGGGCCCGGAGGGGGCGATCCCGGTGCAGCCAGGGAGGAGGGCCAGGGACAGCGGAAGGAGCGCGGAAGGGCGGAGAGGCCCAGAGAGTCGGGGCCGCCGAGCCCGGGACTGGCTGCCCGCTGCCTGCCCAGAGCCGTGCGCTCGGAGCGGAGGCGCACGCGGGGCCGGCGGCGCGCGGGGCCCAGCAGCCATACGCCGGGCCCGGGCTGCCATTAAATGAGCGCGCCGCGGCCAATGGGAGCTGGCGGCGGCGGTGATTTGCATGGCGCGCTGGCGAGTGACGTGGGGAGGGAGTAGATGCACTGGGCGCGGGCGGCGGAGCGGGGAGGAGGGGAGGAAGGCTAGGGGAGCAGGGGCAGGAAGGAGGGGAGGAGGAGGCTCGGGAGGGGGGGTCAGAGCCACACTGCTTCCTGAGCGCGCGCGCGCCGGCGCCAGCAGCCGCGAAGCCAGAGCTAGCCCTCCTCGCCTCTCCCCGCCCGCGCGCTCCGAATGATTAACGCTTGGATTTAAAAGCGAAGACCGAGAAAGAATCGCTGGGGGTTGGGGGGAGGAATACAGCCCCGGGCCGTGTTTAAACGCGCAGCGGAGACCCAGCTCCTCCTCTGCCCCTACCGCCAACTCTTCGCCTGCGGGGAAGGGAAAGTTGGAGATCGAGGCCAGCACGTTGCCCTCCGCTCGGTCTGAGTGCGGACAAGAAGCGGCGGTCCCCTGGACGCAGAGGAGACCGTACGAGGGCCATAACCCCGAAAGCCCCTACAGGTTCTCCTGTGAGGACTAGGCAGTCCAGTCACCCCCACCCCATACATTCTTCACCTCTGCGCGCAGTGAAGTTCTGCAGTGCCCCCACTCGCAGCCAAGGCCTTCAAGGTCCAGGCCTCATAACTCCGGTAACGGGGGAGCATTTGTGTGCTGCATGGCTCCATTAGCTTCGTTTACTATCAGCCCTGAACTTTGGGGAAGGAAGGGGCCTTTTGATGAGACTGGGAGTTAGAGTCACTCTTCCCAACCTGACTTCCTCCTCTTGAAAAGGAATTTCTAGGAAGGTTGAAAACAACAAGATCTATCTGGAATCTAGTTACTCAACAACCATTGAAAAAGTTTGTTGAAATCGCAAAAGAATGATCTAGCCCACGCTTTCTAGAGCGGATCTTCCACAAGCTGTTTGCCTAAGAACTGGGAAAACTGAACTGCGCAGGGCCCAGCAGAAACCGAATGGAAACCTGGGGCCTGGTGACCAGGCAACAGATACCGTTTCCCTGCATTATGCAAAGGGATAGCTGGGTTTATGGGATGATTGAGGCATTCCACCTGCTGTTAATTTTTTTTTTTTTTTTTTGAGATAGGGTCTTGCTGTCGCCCAGGGTAGGTTGCAGTGGCGTCCTCATAGCTCACTGCAACCTCAAACTCCTGGGCTTAAGGCATCCTCCAGCCTCAGCCTCCGGTATAGCTGTATAATTCTTAAACCTCAGAGCGTCTTTGATTTGGGGCACAAGAGATTTTCAAACGCAATCTCAACACCATTGTGCTGACGCTACCATTTCCATCACAATATGAAAGTGGCCGAAAGACTCCTCCTAGAAAACCCTTGAGCTCAAGTATTCCTCCTATGTCCTCTGGGAGGTGCAAGGAGCATTTCTGTTTGCACCCTGAGGTGAGGGTGCTTAAGCAAGTTGGTAGTGGGTAAAGTAGAGTCTTAACCAAATGCCACGTGATTGGCCACGTAATGGAAACCATGATGATGACAATAGAGTGCAATAGGGATGTTTAAGTGTGTTGGGCAGTGAACATGTGACACCTCTTCTTTTTTTTTCTATTTAAAAATCTTCTGAGGTTGTGAATTTCCTGACCCTATTGCTTGTTCAAAGCCGAGGAATAATGCTTTTCTTCCTCTCAATTACTGTGATTATTACTGTAGTTTTTTTATTGCAAGGTTGCTACAGTATGCAGTGCAACAGCAAATTGATCTCTCTGCAGATTAAACTGCTTTCATTTCAGGCCATTCAGCATTTAATAGTAAACTCATCAAATAATATATAATTATATTAAAAGGAAACATCATTTCATGTTTATTTTTCACCAAATATCTAGGTTATAAACTCGGTTTTCAACTACCTTCTTATTCTACCAATTGAGTTTGTTAAATCTTTTGATTTGTTTCATGAACTACCTACAAATATCGGTTACATTGTGAATGAACAAAAAAGGAACAAGAATATTGTTTAGGAATGCTATAGACCCATTTTTTCTTTGATAATTTAGGAGGCAATGGGTGTGCAGGGAGATCCAGTGTATTAGGAAAAGTCAGCAAGACTGAAATAAAGGAAATGGTTTACAAATTATAAACTATATTATCCACTTAGCAGTTGAAAGATTTCTTTCCTCTGCTTTTCAATTTAGATTTTAAACTAAATAGCTTAAGACCCCCTGAAAATGCTTTCTATGAATCAGGCTTGGCACATTATTTTCCATATCAATGGAGCAATTTATTTTATAAACACCCTGCACTCCAGTGTGCTTTGCAGGAATGCTTTATGCTTTGGGGAACTTGGATAGCTGACTTTGAAATGGTCTCGTTTCTTTCTACCATAGTCCTGAAAATTGTTTCCCAATACGTTACCCTTGTTTTTCAGAGCGTCTAAATAGGAGGCAAATGGTGTTGCATTGTATGAGATAATGTTAGTGCTCAGTGTTCAGGGCACTCTCTAAAGCGAGATGTTCCCTGGGCCCAAGCGAGTCCACACACTATGGGTGCCCACCTGCACAAGTATTAAACCTGAGCTGCAGTTGTGACTTGTTGCCAAGCAATAGATGATTGGCAGTGACAGGGCACTGCAAGCCAGACCTCTGTGCCTTCCATCCTGGCCTGAGTTGTGAGGAATCATATTGCTCTTGCCGGTGATGGCCTCAGTTCCTAGCGACTTCTAACCTCTCTCCCCAGTGACTCTTTAAAAGAGAGAAAAGAGTCCAAAACGCATTTGAAAAGTACCCACTTCCCTCTGACTCCCACCACGTTGGCTTCGACCTCTTTCGGGACTGTGACTCTCCCGATGGCCAGACTCTTCAGGGTTTGAAGACAAACTTCCCCATTTCCAAGCAATGTCAGAGGAAGTCCAGAGCCCCTGGCAGAGGTTTACTTTCACTGCTGACTGACCAAATTTGCTCTCTCTGCAACTCCAGAAACTTCATTGTGCCTCTTTGCTAAAAATGCCAAAGAGAAGATCAACTTAGACATGTGGATAATTAAAGATGTTTTCTGTTCTTTTATTTAACCTGTGGCCATAATCCTCAAGGAAAATCCAGATTCAAGCCACCATCAGAAGAAATTATATATACACATATGTGGTTACACACATGTAATATATGCGTGTGCATGCATATGTGATCAATTTAAGCCATTATGCAAGAGTCCTTGGCTTTCAAATAATTGCGTTATGGACTTTAACACCTCTAGCTTTAACTGCAAAAGTGGAGTAACTAAAACTTTTAGCTTATGCTCCCCTCCCAATGGTTGTGGTCATGACAAATCTGGGAAGCAGAGTCCCAGTGGATGGAATTCCCTGCCCTTGGCGACTTTTAAGTGAACGCTAGTTTTCAGACATCTGGAGATGGATTTTGTGTACCCGGCATCGGTCTCCAGCTCCAAACATAGAGCTCGAAGGGCATGGTAGGAGTTCTGGGGGGTCAGAGAAAGAAGATAAAAACTCCTTGTCTCCTGGGCTCTGGCACAGACTCTCGGTCCAGTGACGCCCTCCCAGGGAGAAGTGGCCAGACCACGACCTGTTGCGTTCCCACAGGTCAGCTGGTCAGCTCCAGGCTCCGGGACCTCCAGGGAAGCAGCCTTACAGGCTCAGGCGTTGCCCCAAGAGTTGAGACCACAGTTAAAGGGAGGCAAGTCGTGAGCGAGTCCCCAGTTTCCTGGAGGGACTTCTGAGAGAGAAAAGAGTAGTCTGAAGGAGGAGAGGAGGAAAAGAAGTTGGCAAAGAAAGCGCGGGAGAGAAAAAAAGAACGGTTCAAGTTGGAAGAGGCCTTGGAGGTCACCCCTGCCAACAGGAGGTGGGTGGGCGAGGGGGGGTGAGGTGGGCGGAGAGAGCGAGTCCGGGAGAGGACGGCGCGCAGCGGGGTGGGAGCTGCAGGGGAGATCGTGGGGGAGGGACGGGGCGGGGCGCAGGGGCCGGGTTTCTATCTCCAGGCCCCAGGGGCGAGAAGCGAAGAGGGAGCAGGCCCTGGCTCTGTGCTCCAGCCCCGAGGCCCCGCGGCGCATCCGCGCTGACCGCGCCGTGGCGCGGGCCGCGATCGCCGTCTGCTGGCCGCCGCCGCCCTCGCGGGGACTGCGGGACCCTCGGGCTCTCCGCCGGTCTGGCGCCCCTTGCCTGCGCTTGCAGCCAGAGGCCTTTTTGAGGGCTGGGCGCGCGAGTTCGGGTGTTAGCACGCCAGAGCGCGCGGGGTACGGCCGGGGGCTGTCGGGGCGTGCTCGTCTCTACCGAGTCCCCGGGCGGGCTCTCTCGGTCTCTTACTCTGCGCCTGAGCTAACTTGGCTCTGCTGTTGCAGAACAAAGCCAAAGGAGCCAAAGTAGCAGAAAAGTTTTTTGTTGGTGTTAGTGTTGGTTGGTTTTTTTGTTTTAAAGGAGAGAGAAAGAGAGAAAATAATAATAATAGTAATAAACAGTCAAGGTAAAGGGGGTATGTGGGAAAAGAGAACAATCCGCCTGCAGGCCGCCTGCAGGTATGGGAATTGGAGCGACCCCTGAGCGGCGAGGGACCGCGAGCAGATCTGCGTGGCCGCTCTCCGCGAGCAAGCTCTGTCCTCTCCGACTTAAAAGCGCGTCTGGGTTGTAGGGCTGGTCCGGTAGCGTCTGTGGGAAAGGATCAATAAAGTCCTTCCCCACAAAAGCAGCCGAGGCCTTCTTCCCCGTGGTCAGCGTGGAGACC